TATGTTTTACTCCTGCTGTGCCTGTCTGAGAGATAGCCTGGCTCATTGATCCTAATGTGAAGTGTGAGACTAGAATTAGCCTGCTACTGTATCTACCTAGCTAGCTAGCTATTGCCAGTGGCACTTTTAAAACAGCTTTGAGTTGCAGTTAGAGAATCGCCATTGTGTTATTGATTCTAGTGTGAGACAAGGTCACCAATTTATAGTTGGCACTTAAAACAACTTTGAGTGAAAGATAGAAGTTCGCTATTGTGTCATTGATCCTAGGTTACCAATTTACAATTTTGAAAAAAAAATGTAACCCCTTAGTGACCAGACCATTTTTCAATTTTCTTACCGTTAAGGACCAGGGCTCTTTTTACATTTCTGCCGTATTTGTGTTTAGCTGGAATTTTCCTCTTACTCATTTACTGTACCCACACATATTATATACCGTCTTTCTAGCCATTAAATAATCTTTCCAAAGATACCATTATTTACATCATATCCTATAATTTAATAAAAAAATAAATGATAAAATATGATGAAATTAAAAAAAAAAAACACTTTCTAACTTTGACCCCCAAAATCTGTTTGGCATCTACAACCGCCAAAAAAAACCCACCCGTGCTAAATAGTTTCTAAATTTTGTCCTGAGTTTAGAAATACCCAATGTTAATATGTTCTTAGCTTTGTTGGAAACTTATAGGGCAATAAGTACAAGTATCACTTTGCTATTTACAAACCATTTAAAAAAACAAAAATTAACGCAAGTTACATTTTTTTTTTTTTTAAATTCTTTATTTTTCTTTGTGCATTTGATTATATAACAGAGTAGACTGTAGCGCCACAACAGCAGTTACAGGCGTTTCAACGGTGTACATTGTTATGGCAAGAATATACAGCACATTTTTTTTTTTTTTTTTTAGATAAAACAGGCTAGGAACATGCTTACATTTTTAACGTATTAAGTACAAGCTAGTTTTGCTCGTCTATTGTGTTAGGTCACAGTGGGGTCATCCAGCTGAAGACAATAAACGTACTATGATTCTAACATATATAGAAGTGATTAGAGTCGATTAAACATTGCTAAAGACATCCGTCAGTGCCCCATCAGCTTGGATAAGCAGTTTCACAGTTAGACATAAGCATGACATGGAGATAATGGCAGGATTTTGTGTGCTGTGTGGGCAACATAGATGCATTATAGAGGTTGCACACGGCTGACCAATTAAGCGCAGGCAAAAGGGGTAACCACTAGTTGCAAGGTTTGATAACGAGAAAATACCCTTAGCTAGGCTAATTAAGTGTGAGAAAAATAATAAAAGTAGAATAGGCCTGTATTATGTAGCATGTATGTAGACAGTAAGCTGCCTATAAGATTGACAGGACACTTAAGGAGATGTGTATTCAAACGGTTCTGCCTTGCCTTACAGTAGATATTCATCTCAAGCTAGGTATATGCTACGTAAACTTAATCCAGACCAACAATTCTGCTATGCAAACACATTTTACAAGGGTTAAATAAGCATATATAGCGATGTGCCTTAAAGCAAAACATCATGGGTATGTGGCTGTAAGCAGACCCACGAGAGAGTGTCCGTACAATACCGCTTGGTAAAGTAGGCTTAAGGGCTTGAATAGTCCTAGTCCATATGGTTGGCAGGTTTCAATGTGCTGTCTGTGGTGGTTCAGTGAAGGAAGCTGGGTCCAAGTTATCCAGCCCGGCTGCGGCCTCTGACTCTCTTCATCAGTGGACTGTCTTGTGCAGGTGGGAGAGGTTGCTTGCTCCTCCGCTTTGTTCCCGCTTTCGCCATTCTTACCGCTGCCGGTCTCGGTGTGGTCAGCAGATATAGCCCTGGAGTATGTCATATGGGTGGTCTCCTCTGCGATCGGCTTCATTGTGCTGGCAGTTCACGCACGTGGCTTTCATGCGGCAGCCATTTTGAGGGGCACTGCTCAGTAAGTGTACCTCGGCGGGGTGGTTCTTTTAGGCCTGGTTTGGCACACCGGTGGATGTCTGTGTAGACCGGGATGACCCCCCCGGTCCAGGGGGGGGGGGAAGCCAGCCGGCGGTTGGAGACCCGGGAGAGCGGCCGTCTCTTCCCGGCTCAAGCTCCCCCGTGCTTCGGGCCTCCATCGGGTCACCGTTGGTACCAGGTAGGGTTTTTGGGAGGCATCTCTGCTTTCCCCAACAGCTGGGGGTCTGTTTAGTTGCCGGAGTGTGTCGTTGGTTAGATTTGGCCCCCAGTTATCGCCGATTTTCGGCCCTGAAGCGGGAGCTCAGACAGAACGCGTCTGATCCCTCCGGCGGTCCGGCCCCGCCCCCCGCAAGTTACATTTTAATGCTGATATCTGTCAGGAATCCCTGAATAACTCTTCACATGTATATATTTTTTAAAAGAAGACAACCTAAGGTATTAAACTTGGGTTATTTTGACTCTTTTCATGCAACCATTTTACCACCAATCTATGCCAAATAAAAAAAAAAATAATAATTGGTGATTTTTTGACACACATAGCAATTTAAAAATACATGTACGGAGAACTTTAAGGGTAACTGCCAAAGAACACCCCTATATGTATTCAGCAACATCTCCCGAGTACAGTGATACCATCCATGTATAGGTGTGTCGGGGCTAAAATACCTTATTTGGAGGGTGGCCATTCCAGTTTTCACAGCTGGTCATCATGCACCCGTGTTCTATTTGGGACATTTTTGAAGCCAGCTAATGTAATTTACCCCCTTCAAACCATATATTTTTGAAAAGTAGACACCCTACGGTATTTCAAAGGGTGATATTTTAACACTTTCCATGCACTAATTCTACCTCCATTCTTTGTTAAACATTTGGGTAGTCATTTGTTTGTGTTATTTTTCTCTCACATTGTACTTTAGGCATGGATTTTCAGTTCCTGTTATGGGTTACTGACAAAGAACACCCCAATATGTAGTCAGCAACATCTCCTGAGTACAACAGTGTCCCCAATGTACATGTTTTATGGATTTTTGCAAACTTACAGGGATCAAATGTAGGGCTTTCCCCTTTTCCATGTTTGCACATTGAAATTTGCCACATTGGTTTGCTGGGTCTATGTTGCCTTTGAGACTGTATAGCAGCCCCGGGATGAAAATGAACCCCATCATGGCATATATATTACAACAGCTTGCACTTACGACCAGGTGTAAGTGCGAGCGGTCGTGGGGACTCCCTGCTCTGGTGCACATGTCTATGTTCAGGGAAACTTCCCCGAACATAGACAAACACACCAGAGCAGGGAACATATATTCATTTATATATGTTCATTTATAAACTTTTTTTTTTTAACTTGGCAGCACTGTGGACACCTATTGCAACCATGTGACCCCCATTGGCAGGGGAACGGCAGCAATTGGTAAGTACATGGTGTCAGGTTTCTCACCGCAGCAGACAGACGGCCAGACGTGGTCACCCAAGGAGTTCCCTAGAGGAGATTTGTTTATCTACAAGATCAGACATCAGCAAGGTATTTAAACTCAGCCTCGCCCTGTGATCAGGATCAAGTCTTTGATCCTGTTGTGTGTTCCGTACCAGTGTTCCTGTCGTTTGATCTGCTACTTATTATTGACCCCGGCTTCTGACTACGTTTACTCTGACCTCTGGCATCCCTTGACTTCAGCTACTCCTCATTGTTCCTGTCCTCTGGCATCCTTTGACCTCGGCTATCCCTTGACGATCCTGTTGTTTGAGTCCTTGCCTGTCCTGCGACTTGGTACTTCATCCTGCACAGCCCCCGTGCACAGACCCACAGGCTAGGTGAATTCTTACCTGACCCCTTGGCCTGTGGCTATCTGCAAGGGTGAGCAACATATCTGCCCTACAGACTCCCAACCCAGGTAAGACCCTGACAAAAGACTTGATCAATATGGAGTCCGCAGAGATGTGCTCACCCCTGTCCCAGCAAGTGTCCAGCCTGGCCGAGACTGTTTCGGAACTGCAGCAAAAAATTTTATTTCTTAAATGCGCAGTACATCCAGCCCCGGAACCAGCTTATCCTGAACCGTTTGTCATCGTGCCTGACCGATTTGATGGTAGCCGCACGTCCTTTCAGTCCTTCAAGATGGATTGCGAGGTGTTGTTTTCTTTAAAGCCTCGAACATATGCCACATGTTGCAGACGAAGAGTCCTGTCCTTGTCAGCTGGGAATTCTTCAGTACTGCTATGGACTCACAATGCAAGACCACTGTGCCCAAGCCAGCTCCACGTACCAAAAAATCTCAGATTCTTTGAAACCAAGAAACCCAGTACCACCACTACACCCCAGTGATGTCTCCTTATGATCCAGTTCCTAGGAAAACTCCAGAGGTACCCTATGTTCCACTTGACCCTGAGGAACCTATGCAATTAGGACTTGTCCACTGCAAAGTGACACCTGAGGAAAGAGACCAAAGGAGAAGCCATGGCCTATGTTACCTTGACTATGGCTGTGCTTCACCTGACCCTGATCAGACATCAGCAGAGTATTTAAACTCAGCCTCGCCCTGTGATCCTGTTGTGTGTTCCGTACCAGTGTTTCTGTCATTTGATCTGCTGCTTATTATTGACCCCGGTTTCTGACTACATTTACTCTGACCTCTGGCATCACTTGACCTCGGCTATCCCTTGACGATCCTGTTGTTTGAGTCCTTGCCTGTCCTGCGACTTGGTACTTCATCCTGCACATCCCCCGTGCACAGACCCACAGGCCAGGTGAATTCTTACCTGACCACCTTGGCCTGTGGCTATCTGCAAGGGTGAGCAACATATCTGCGCTACAGACTCCCAAGCCAGGTAAGACCCTGACA